TACCAAGCCAGCGCCGGCTTGGTACCCCGCCGGCTTGGTATCCGGGAGCCCCTCCCCTCCCTCCCGCGCTCCCGCGATGCCGCCGGCTTGGTACCCCGCCGGCTTGATACCCCCCGCAGCCCACCCCCTACCAAGCCAGCGCTGGCTTGGTACCTTGCCGGCTTGGTATCCGGGAGCTTTTCCCCCTTCCTCCTCCCGCCCTCCCACGATGCCGCCGGCTTGGTACCCCGCTGGCTTGGTACCCTTCCGCCGCCCCTCCCCTACCAAGCCATCGCCCGGCGTACACTCTGCGCCCGACCCGAGTTTCCGTCTGCTTCGGGCCACGCCTTCGGGGCAGCGCAGGAGCGGCAGCTGCGCGCTCCCCTCTGCTGTCGCCCGCGGCTTGTCCGCTGGTCGGCCAGGGCCCGCTGTGCGTCGCGGGCGCCCGCGGTCCGCGCCCAGGAGGAGGAACTTGGCATCGCTCGGACGTGTGCGCTCTCTCGGAAGCTGGAGCATATACATTCAGGAGGAAAAGAAACACACAGACACAATTAATCCAGGATTCCCCAGAAAATATAGGAAAATATGGGAAGTGGGCGGGAAGACAGAAACCCAGAAAATATGGGAACATATGGGGGATATTTTTATTTGTGTGTATTTATTTGTGTGTTCCAGTTCCCCTTCATACATTACCAGTGGCGGGACTTTTTTGAGGGTCGGGGACGACGTCGGGGTGGTGTGGTGTATACTTTTTCCCCGTTTCCCTGGGGAAGCAACGAAGAGTGTACACACCAGGATCCCGTATACACCAGGATCCGCTTTCCTGTTCGAGATTCAGTGTGAGGCCAGACAAAGGCGTCGGTGTATAGAGTGCGGTTCCCTACTTTCTCTCGGCAGGGACCATATCGGCCACGCGCAGACGGGGGTTAGGGGGAGGGGGGAAGGCTTCTTAGAATCACCCCTGCATCTTGGCAGGCGCGGGCCTTCTCTGCAGTGTAAGGCCCGCGCCTTCTACGAAGCAGTCTCCTTCTAAGAAGCCTCCCCCCTCCCCACACCCCGTCGCGCGCACCGCCAATCATCGAGGAGCATCTTGGATCATCTTACGAAAAAAGGGGTGCAAGAGGCCAAGAAGTACACTGTGAATGGACGTCTGGGCGATGGCCGGGGAAGGTCGGCGGCGATTCCGGACCCTACCCTCGCCGATCAACGATTCAGGTAACCCGACGGGCGGCGGGGATAGGGTGCGGGATGCGTGTACAGTCGGACCGCTGAAGAAGGAGCCCTTCCCGATGGGGATGGGGCTCGGTGTTCCTTGATTGTTTCACTGTTTGCCTCGGGTTTTCCTGGGGTTTTCCACGGGAAATCGAAGATGAACTGATGGGGAAAAAGGGGCCTCGTTCCTCATTTAGGGTTCCTCAGGGCAGCGCCCCGATCGTAGCACGCGGCGAAGGTCGAGCCCTGACCTCCTGCCTCCCATCGATTCGGGGCGTTCGGACGTCGCCACCTGGGCGAGGGATAGTCGCAGCACTTCCTCGGAGGTCCGCGCGGATGTCCTGAATCGGCGCAGGTCAGCGGCGAGGGGAGCGGGGAGGGCAACGGCGAGGGGGGGAGCGAGGAGGAGGAGGAGGAGGAGGAGGAGGAGGAGGAGGAGGAGAGAGGAGGAGGAGGAGGAGGAGGAGGAGGAGGCGGAGGAGAGAGGAGGAGGAGAGGAGGAGGAGGAGGAGGAGGAGGAGGAGGGGAGGAGAGGAGGAGGAGGAGGAGGAGGAGGAGGAGGAGGAGGAGGGGAGGAGGAGGAGGAAGGAGGAGGAGAGGAGAGAGGAGGAGGAGGAGGAGGAAGGAGGAGGAGGAGGAGGAGGCGAGGAGGAGGAGGAGGAGGAGGAGGAGGAGGAGGAGGAGGGAGAGGAGGAGGAGGAGGAGGGGAGGAGGAGGTAGGAGGAGGAGGAGGAGGAGGAGGAGGAGAGAGGAGGAGGAGGAGGAGGAGGAGGAGGAGGAGGGAAGAGGCAGGAGGAGGGGGAGGAGGGGAGGAGGGGGAGGAGGAGGTAAAGGGGAGGAGGAGGAGGGGAGGAGGGGGAGGTCGAGGAGGAGGAGGGAGGAGGAGGAGGAGGAGGATGGGGAGGAAAGCGGAGGAGGAGGAGGGGAGGAGGAGGCGGAGGAGGAGGAGTAGAGGAGGAGGAGGAGGGGGAGGTCGCGGAGGAGGAGGAGGAGGAGGAGCAGGAGGAGGCGGAGGAGGAGGAGGAGGAGGAGGCGGAGCAGGAGGAGGAGGAGGAGGACCAGTGTAGATCCAAGAGTCATCAACGATGTGGGAGTAAACCCTCTCTCGAAGCTCCCTCTTCATAGGCCCCTACAACGGTTCATTTCCATTGAGGGAGTTGCCTCGTTGGAAGACACCCGTTTAAGACCCTGAAGCATGCCAAAACATTGTTCTCGGGATTCCAACGCCACGGATCAACCTGACGGTTGCGTTTTGACGATCCTGAATCGTGCCAGAGCACAATCCCTGGGATTTCAGCACCGCGAATCACCGTAACTGTTGCACCCGCAAAATCATGAATCCTTCCAAAGCACCGCTTCTGGTACGTTGACGATGGGAATCCGTGAAACTCTTGAATATATTGTAAACGAATGTGCGCGGCGCTAAGGCGAGAGCCTCATCCTGAAAAGTAACCGCCCTCAATCCGTGAAACTCTTGCAAAGTTTGAAAACGAATGTGCGCCGCGCTAAGGCGAGAACCACATTTTGAAAACGATCCGCCCTCGATCCGTGGAGCTCTTGCAAGTTGTTTAAACGAATGTGCGCCGCGCTAAAGCGAGAGCCACATTTTGAAAACGACCCTCCGTCAATCCGTGTAACGCTTGCACATATTTAAGAATGTGCGCCGCGCTGAGGCGAGAGCCACATTTTGAAAATGACCCGCCCTCAATCCGTGAAGCTCCTGCACATGTGAAAAAAAAACGAATGTGCGCCGCGCTACGGTGAGAGCCAGATTTTGAAAACTACCCGCCCTCCATCTGTGAAGCTGTTGCCAATTTGTAAGCTTCAGAGTCAGAAGTGGTGAGGAAGTCTCATGCGACACGCCCGGCCCGCCCTGAAAACTGGCCTCGGGGTGCGACAGGGAGAAGTTATTCATAAGGAAAAGAAATGGAGGAGAAGAAGAAAAAGAAACAATGGAAGAGGCAGAGGAGGAGGAGGAGGAGGAGGAAGAAGAGGAGCAGCATGAGGAGGAGGAGGAGGAGAAGAAAGGAGGAGGGGGAGGGGGGAGGAGGAGGAGAGGAAGGAGGAGGAGGAAGAAAGAAGAGAGAGGAGGAGAAAGAATTAATGAAAGAGGGGAGGAGGAGGAGGAAACAAAGAAGAGGAGGAGGAGAGAAAAAGGATGGGGTGAGAGAGGAGGCAGGAGGAGGAGGAGGAGGAGGAGGAGGAGGAGGAGGAGGAGGAGGAGGAGGAGGTGAGAGGCGGAGGAGGCGGAGGAGGGGGCGGCGGAGGAGGAGGAGGAGGAGGAGGAGAAGATGGAGGAGGATCGAGAAGAAGAGGGGTGAGGAGAGGGAGCACCACGATCGGGAACAGCCTGGCCAGCGGGCGCACGCGCGCGCTCTCACGCGTGGTCAGGCCGGAGATGTCATTCCATGGAAGTTCCGGGGTGGGGTTGGAGTCGGAGCCTTCGACATGCGGGTGGTTTGGCTGGGGTGGCCTGGTCTTAGCGAGCGGTCCCTCTTCTGGCGCCTTGAGGCCCTGAAGAGATGGGCGGGGGGCTGGGTAATGACCACCAGGATGTGTAACAGGTTTTGGGCGTGCATGCTGGGCTGTGCGAGTGGCGCTGGCTCCCTCAGACATTACCTTTGGTGCTCCCGCACTCGTGAGCTCGTAGCTCGGAGTTCCGGACAGTTTCTTGGCAATGATTCGTTACGCAGATTTGCGTTGGTTCGGTTTAGCGAGGCTACTAGCATCAGAAGGGCAGTATGATTTTCCCAATCCCATCCTGTGGTGTTGGGTCCTCGTTTTGACGAGACAAAGCCCCGCGTCTGCTCCTCCCGCCCTCCTCCCCCTCCTCCCTCCTCTCATCACCATCAACATCGATCACCCCCTCGTCCATCCTGCCTCGTCCTCTCCTCTCCTCTCCTCTCCTCTCCTCTCCTCTCCTCTCCTCTCCTCTCCTCTCCTCTCCTCTCCTCTCCTCCTTCCTCCTCCCCCTCCTTCCTCCTCCTATCCGTGCCTCTGCCCCCTGCACTCAGTACAGCGCTTCGTGGCCCCATGCTGTGTACGCATGCGTCCCGCGCCAACCAGTACAGCGCTTCGTGACCCCACAGGCACAGGGAGATCCTCCGATCGCCACAGTGGCTGTGTACACATGCGTACTGCCCCACCCAGTACTGCATTTCGTGGCCCCGTCGGGAGCTCCTCCGAAGGGCCCAGTGGCTGTGTACGCATGCGTCCCGCGCCACCCAGTGCGGCGGTTCGTGGCGCCATCGGGAGCTCCTCCGAAGGCCCCAGTGGCTGCGTACGCATGCGTCCCGCGCCACCCATACCGCATGTCGTGGCCCCATAGGAAGCTCCAATGAAGGCCCCAGTGGCTGTGCACGCATGCGTCCCGCGCCACCCAGTACGGCGTTCCGTGGCCCCATACGAATCTCCACCGAAGGCCCCAGTACGGCGCTTCGTGGCCCCATAGGGAGCTCCACCGAGGGCCCCAGTGGCTGTGTACGCGCACGCGTCCGGCGCCACCCAGTACGGCGTTTAGTGCCCCCGAAGGGAGCTCCACCGAAGGCCCCAGTGGCTGTGTACGCACGCGTCCCGCGCCACCCAGTACGGCGGTCCGTGGCCCCATACGAAGCTCCACCGAGCTATTGCATACCGAGGCCAACAAGCGAAGCTTTGAGGTCATCCCCCCTGAGCTGGCCTTCAACATCGATCGGATTGCCCGATCGATCACCGACCTTGCCCAGGGGTAGATCAATTCGCTACAACTGCATAGTATGATTCTGTGCCTCCTCCTCCTCCTCCTACCCCACGGCGCCGCCCCTGCGGAGGCAAACAGGGCCAAGGCCGACGCTGCCGCAGAGGAGACTGCGCCCGCTTCCCCCCCTCCTGCATCGTCTGGCGCGGCAGAGTCGCCACAACCCTTCAACAGCGGATCGTCGCTCCAGGGGAGACGGAGGAGGAGTAGGAGGAAGTCGAGAAGAGGGAGGAGGAGGAGGTGGAGGAGGGGGAGGGGGGGGGGGGAGGGGGAGGAGATGAGGGGGGGGGGGGAGGAGAGGGGGAGGAGTGAGGAGGAGGAGGAGGAGGAGGTAGGAGGAGGAGGAGGTGGAGGAGGAGTGAGGAAGGAGGTGGAGGTGGAAAGGGAAGGAGGAGGATGGCGGAGGAGGAGGAGGAGGAAGAGGAGGAGGAGGAGTAGGAGGAGGAGGAGGAAGAGGAGGAGGAGGAGGATAGGGGGAGGACGGGGGAGGAGGAGGATGAGGAGGATGGGGAGGTGATGTTGGAAGAAACCCTCCCTCTAAGCTCCCTCTTCACAAGCCCCTACACGGGCTCATGTCCACTGAGGGAACTGCCCCGTTGGAAGACAACGGTTTGAAGACCCTGAAGCATGCTGACACATCGTTCTCGGGATTCCAGCGCCACGGATAAACCTGATTGTTGCGTCTTTGGCGATCCATTCTTGCCAGAACGCCATTCCTGGCATTTCAACACCGCGAATCAACGTAACTGTTGCACCCTCATAATAATCCGGAGTCTGTCCCAAACACCGCTTCTGTTACGCTGATCATGGGAATCAGTAGAACGCTGGCAAATGTTTAGAGCGAATGCGCGCGGCGTTAAGGCGAGAGCCACATTTTAAAAAGGAACCGCCTTCAATCCGTGAAACTATTGCATTTGCTGTCTTTTTGATATATACATAGAGAGAGAGAGAGAGAGAGAGAGAGAGAGAGAGAGAAAAAAAAGAAAAAGAAAAAGAAAGAGAGAGAGAGAGAAACGAATGTGCGCGGCGCTAAGGCGAGAGCCACATTTTGCGAAATCAGAAACCTCAATCCGTGAAACTCTTGCGAAATCAGAAAAGAACGAATGCACGCGGCGCGAAGGCGAGGGACACATTGTGAAAACCATTCGCCATCAATCCGTGAAACTTTTGCACACGTTTAGAACGAATGCGCGCGGCGCTAAGGCGAGCGCCACATTAAAAAAACGACCCGCCCTCCATCTGCGAAATTGCTGCCAATGTTTAAGCTTCAGGATCATAAATGGTGAGGAAGGCTCAGGCGAAACGCCCGGCCCGCCCTAAAAATTGGCCTCGGGGTGCAACAGGGCGAAGTTGATGATAAGGAAAAGGAATGGAGGAGGAGGGGGGAGGAGGAGGAGGAGGAGGAGGAGGAGGAGGAGGAGGAGGAGGGGGGAGGAGGAGGGGGGAAGGAGGAGGAGAAGGAGGAGGAGGAGGAGGAGGAGGAGAAGAAGGAAGAGGAGGAGGATGGGCCCGCGGCGCGGCAGCGCCTAGGCGTGACGCTGCCATGGCGGACCGGGTGCCTGCGATCAATAGCCAGCACTCCGTCGAAGCCTTCTGCACCACCAAGATTTCCTACGGAGACAGATCGGACCCTTCTGGGTCTAGGCCTTACGCCAAGGAGGCTTCCTTGAAGGCGTACCGCAGGCTGGCCTATGCCTCGCGGCGCGGCCGGCCCATCGCCATCTGCGACGTTGTGCAGCTCGCGTACTTTCCAGGGCACTCCAAGGACCACTTCAACACGCACAATGCCTGTAACCAGCTGCGTAGCCAGCAGCACGTCGAAGCCGCAAGCAGGAGACAACGGCCGCTCGTCGACACCAGCAGCGACCACATGCGGCCCACCGGCACCAATTACATCGTCATCGAGGTTCACGGCGACAGTCAGGAGGGAAAAAACACACAGACACAATTAATCGACGACTCCCAGGAAAATATTGGAAACTATGGGAAGTGGGGGGGAGACAGAACCCAGAAACTATGGGAAAATATGCGGAATCCTTTTATTTGTGTGTATTCATTTGTGTGTCCCAGGGCCCCTTCAGACAGGGGCCTGCCGCAGGACGAGCTCCCTGCTGCGCCACCGGCTGCTGCACCGCCCCGCCGCCGACGCTGCTTGGCGGCGCTGCCGCCGAGGCTGCCGACCCTCGCGCGCGGCGCGCACCGGGCGCCGCCTTCCCCGCCCAGGGCTGCCTGTGGCGGCCGCCGCGGCGGCTGCGTCAGCCGGGCGCGCCGGCGCGCAGTCCCCTCCGCAGCGGCGACAGGCAGCCCGCGCCATGCGACCAGGAATGCGAGGACGAGGAGGACCAGGAACACGAGGACGAGGAGGACCAGGAGCACGAGGACGAGGAGGGCATCCGGGAGGCGCCGCTGGGTGCCAGAGCCAGCGCAGCCTGCGATAGCGGCGGCTTGCCCCCTTGGGCGCTCCCGAGTCGACCTGGGCCGCAGCCCGTAGCCCAAAAGAAAATGAAGATGGGAATCCCCCCGCGGGATCCTTCGGCGGCCTCCCCCCACTTAGCACTTCGGGCTACGTCGCCGAGGATCCCGCCCTCGTTGCCACGGCTGGGGATCCGCCACCACATCCGCAGCTGACCAACACCAAGCGGCTGCCCCGCGCCAGGTCCGCCTCAACCTGCACCACGAGGATGACTTCGGGCGCGTGCGGGAGGAGGACATCGACCAGGAGGAGAAGGACGCTGGCGTGAACGTCAACGCCTACGCAAGGATCAACGCCAGCAGGAAGTGCGAAGGCAAGGAGGACGAAGGCCAAGAGGACGGCGACGAGGGCGACGACGCTCCCTCCCCCACGGCCCCTCGCCCCGACGGCCCCCACGATGCTCCCTCCCCCACGACCCCTTGTCCCGACGACCCGTCATACGACTCTTCGCCACGACGACCCGGTACCCTGCACGACCCCTCACCCGACACCTTGCCCAACGCCTGGCCCGACGCCCCATCCCACTCCTTACCCGACGCCTCGCTGTATGGCCTCCCCGCGCCCGATGCTATACTTGAACTACTTCGGCTACGCGGTCAAGCTACCCGCACGGACGGCTAGACGGCCCACAAGGACGCCCCTCCGACCCACCCCGAGCCTGCCACGACGGACGACCCGCGGCCTTTCCCCACGACGCCACTGACCACGACAACGACAGCGACGACTTGGCGCCCCTCCCGACGCCGACGCGCCTCCCCACCACGACGCCCCTCCCCACGCCCTGCCCTGCTGCTCTCAGCCCTACGCCCCGCCCCACTCCCCACGCGACGCCTCGCCCGACGACCACCCCACGCCCCAGGCCCTGCCCGCTGCTCCCCTGCACCCCAACCCGACTGACCTGCCGCTCGATCCCTGCCCCGCGGTGCCCAAACCCCAGACGCCCTACGCCGCGCCCCACCCCACGCGCCCAAGTGGACGACATCCACCCTGCGGGACCTCGAGGCTCGCTGGACCCAACGCGTCCTCGCCATCGCCAGCACCGCCGCCAGCGCGCACAGCGGCGACTCCGCTGGCACTGGCGCCATCGACGCCCAGATCCAGCATCTCTACGACGAGCGCCGACGGATCAATTTAGCCCTGCAGTGACAGCTCCAGAATACTGGCGAGATGGAGGCGGAACTCCAGGTGCTGGACCACTTAGCGGCCGACCTGACGCACACGACCCCACACCCGACGACCCACCCAACCCCTCCTTCCGATGCCCCTCCCCGCCACTCCCCACGACGGGTGCGCTTCACTGACGCCCAGCCTGGCGCCCATACCCTCGATGACGACGAGCCTCCAGACAGCACGCCTATTCGGCGCGTGCTGTTCGCCGACGCGCCATAGGCTGCACCAGCCACCCACCCACGCAGGGATGGATGGCTACCGCGGGCAGGGAACAACTGCTCCCTGCCGGCTGCCGCGACGACCCCAGCTTAATACTCGGTCAACTCTGACCCTCCTTCCCTTTCCCCCCCCGCCGCATGGGCAGCCGGCCCGTGGCACGGGCCGGATCCATCCCTGGACCGCCATCTTGACACACCCATGCGAAGCCCTCCCCACCCCACCCCGCCCTTTCCCGGCACGCACCCGACGACCTCCCCACGACCACACCGACGGCGCTCTGGGGGACGGCAGCGCCCTCGACCCCGACCCGAGCCGGACCCACGGCGAGGACGTCAGGCAGGGGAGAGGCCCCGGCGCGGCGCCTGTAAGGGGAGCGGGAGCAGGCGCTCGCCTCCTCCTCCTCCTCCTCCTCCTCCTCCTACCTCCTCCTGCTCCTCCTCCTGACTCCTCCTCCTCCTCTCTCCTCCTCCTCCTCATCCTCCTCTCCATACTATTCACCCTTCCTACATTCCCCCTCCTCCTCCCTTCCTCCTCCTTCCTCCTCCTCTTTAACTCCCTCCTCCTCCTCCTTCCTCCTCCTCCTCCCCATCCTCCCCCTCCTCCTCCTCCGCCCCTCGGCCTGCGCACCCCCGCCCCTTTCCCCCTCCTCCCCATTCGGGGGGTCCGCCCGCCGGCCCGCGGCCCGCCGCCTGCGCGTCCCTCCTGTCCCTCGCTCGCTCGCTCGGCCCCTCGGCTCGCCCTTGCCTCGGTCCGCCCTCGCGCCGCCCCCCTCTCCCCTCGGCCTCCTCCTCCTCCTCCTCCTCCTCCTCCTCCTCTTCCTCCTCCCCCTTCCCCTCCCTCCTCCTCCCCCATTCTCACTCCCTCCTCCCTCCTCCGCCTCCTCCTCTCTGGGGCTCCCGTGGCGTCCCGCCCGCCGGCCCCGCCAGCGGCCGCGAGCGAGCCGTGTTTTCTCCGGATGGCCCCCCCCTCTGCCGCAGCGGCAGCGGGGGGGCACGGGCTTCGGGTCGCAGGTCGAGCTGGCCCTCCGCGGCAGCAGGAGGGGGAGGGCCCCTCGCAGGCGGCGCCGTATAAGCCGCAGGCGATACCTGCAGACCTCCGACCGGGCGGCCCGGCGGGGCATGGGTGGGCCCGCTTGGGCGTGCGACCGCCCGAAGCGCGCGAAAGGAGGAGGAGGAAAGGGGGAAGGGAGAGGAGGGAGGGCAGGATGGGGAGGACGGGGAGATGGGTACCATGAGGGGCCGGCACATCAGACGTCCATGCGGTCTCGGAGGTACCGCTTTGACAGGCTCTGCCGAGGCAACGGTTCTTGGCGACTGTACTAATCGTTGCGAGGTTTGACATTCTCTCTACAAGCCGGCGTTCCCGTTCAGAAAGATTTCGAGCCTCTTGCTATTCGTATCTACTTGCCCTGGGCCTGTCGAATCCTGCAGCGGGTGCTGCAATGTGGCCCGATCGCATCCTGCACCCTGAGCGGTAGATCGACCCCTCCATTGCAGCGCCCCTGCTCCCGCTTCAGCACTCCAGGCATCCTCCTTGTCCTCTGCCACGGAGCGGGCTCTCTCCAACACGACTGGGGCCCCACTCACTCACTCTGGCCAGGAGCCGACCCACCGGGGGGGGGGGAGGGGCAGAGGGGCCAGGCCTTCCCCGCGTCGCGGCGGGCTCCCCCACAGGCTTGGACATCTCTCAGGAGGGGAAAAAACACACAGACACAATTAATCGTCGATTCCCCCGAACATATGGGAAAATATGGGCAGCGGGGGGGAAGACAGAAACCCAGAAACTATGGGAACATATGGGGAATCCTTTTGTTTGTGTGTATTTATTTGTGTCTCCCATGGGCCCCTTCAATCTCTTCCAAACGCCCGGAGGCCATTCCGAGCCCTCTCGTCCGCAGCTCGGCCCTCCGGCTGCCCCTCGGGACGATCGGGGGCACCACGCCTCGTCGAGGCGCAGCTGCTGAGGAGAGCACCCCGCGGCTGGAGCACCGCCGCGCACGGACGCAGAAGCGCCCGAACACCTCGAGCACCGAGGCCGCCTCCGCCGTCCCCCGGGGCCTCCCCGCGCCTCCCCGCGCCGCGGCTCGCGGCGGCGCGCCTCGCAGGACGCGCTCAGGAAGCGGCAGGAGGCCCTCCGGCTGCAGGAAGAGAAGGCAGGGCGGCCCCAGCGAAGTTAGGGGGGGAGGAAGGAGGAGGAAGGAAGAAGGAGGCATGATAATCATGATGATGATGATGATGATGATGATGATGATGATGATGATGATGATGATGATGATGATGATGATGATGATGATGTTGATGATGATGATGATGATGATGATGATGATGATGATGATGATGATGATGAGAGTAATAATAATACTACTAATAATAATAATAATAACAATAATGATAGTAATAATAATAATAATAATAATATGAATAATAATATTAATAATAATAATACTACTAATCATACTAATAATAATAGTAGTAATAATAATAGTAATAATAATACTAATAGTACTAATATTAATAATAATACTAATAATAGCAACAACAACAACAATAATACAAATACTAATATTAACCACAATAATATCAGTACTGATAAGGATAATGATAATGAAAATGATAATGATAATGATAATGATAATGATAAGAAGAAGAAGAATCATAATAATCAGAATAATAATAAGAATAATAGTAAGAAGAAGAAGGAGGGGCAAGGAAGGAAGGAAGAAGGAAGGGGGGGCGATGGGGAGAAGGACGAAGGCAGGAAGCAGGAGGCAGCAGAGGGAACGGGGGGACGAGGACACGGGGCGCAGCACGGAGCAGGGAGCCGTGCGAGCACGAGGCCAGGCCCACGCCACACGAAGGGCCCGTCCGAGCGGGCGGCAGAGGGTCCAAAGGCGATCCCGGCGCGGAGAAGGGCACCCCTCGCGGGACGGCGGCAGGCGGCGGGAGGGCCGCGCCAGCCCTGCGACGGGCAGGAGGCGGGGGCTCTGGTGGGGCCGCTGGCCGTGGTCTCGTCCAGCTCCGAGGGGGAGGAGGAGGGGGAGGAGGGGGAGGAGGAGGAGGAGGAGGAGGAGGAGGAGGAGGAGGAGGAGGAGGAGGAGGAGGAGGAGGAGGGGGAGGAGGAGGAGGAGGAGGAGGGGGAGGGGACGAGAGTCAAGCAGTGGCGAAGCGTCCTGGCTCGCCTACAGGCCTACCAAACAATGTTCTGAGAACCTTTTGTGGTTTCCACGAGATAGTCTTAGAACAATTCTGGCGGAGCCCGTCTTGTTTTAACACATCGGGCTAATGTTCCAAGAACAGTGTTTTTATTATTCGAACATGTTTGGGTTCTGGGAACATCTCGCGGTGGGACTGTAGGAATGCCGGGGCGGTCGGTCCCTGCTCGAGCTTTCAGACTCGGGGTTGGCCTCGCGCGCGCCCGCGTGCGGGCACGAGCGTCCAGTAGTAGCGGAGGGAGCAGGAGGCAGCCGGCAACGACGGCGGCGACGGCGGCGGGCGACGGCGGCGACTGCGGCGGCGACGCGACGGAGGACCGACGGGACACCCGCAGCGACGCGTCCGGCGACGGCGACGAACGGCGACGGGGCAGCTGCCGCTCGCGCGTGGCGGGTGCGGGGAAGCGCTCGGGGCCTGCCGCGCCCGCTCCCGCGAGAGGGGAAAGGGGCGGGGGAGAGACAGGTGAGAGGAGGAGGATGCGCGTCCGCCCTGTCGGGCCTGCCTGCCCCCAGGTGTCGCCTTCTGCCCATCATGTCAGTGCCCATCGGGCTTGCCGTGACAGAAGCAAATTCCATCGCAATTCCGGCACATCGTCGGCACGACAGTTCTCCCATTCACTTGCTGGGATGGTCCAGGCATCCAGCCAGGCATCGCCAGGCTGGAGGGTCATGCTAAATGAATGCGGTAAGCGCACAGCTTTCTGGGCGGTTGTATGATGTCCTGGCTTTGTGATGTTCACGCGTGTGATCGGAGATCCCCTCCCCGCGTAGCAGGCCGCCGCGTTAGAGCAGCGGCTCAACAAGCAAAAGGTTCAGTTTGAGGAGCACGCCGCCCAGCGGATATATAAACTCATCTCTTCCAGTGTCTCTTCAGAATGGATTGTGTACCATATTTGCATCAACCCATCAAGTGTGTGCTCGCATTTTATGTGTGTGTTCGTGGCATCGCAGCGCCCGATCAGGAATATGACAACACAAGCACGAGGGACCATATGTGAATTCAGCGCATAATTGTGGAGCACAAGTGCATTGCCCATTAGGAAAGCAGCTGGGCAATACATGCACTCATTAGACAGGACACGCATGATTGGATACGTACACCAGCACATCATACCATCTTAGAACTATTACAGTGCATTACGGTATTAGACGGATGAGAAATCATTGGATCGTGCGTGCCATCTCGCTTCTGCATTAGCTTATGATCTTCGATTGCTGCTTCTGGACTTGTACCTAAGATAGCCCCTATGTCATTGGTGACCTGTTCTCGCCACTGAATCTTGCCATACCCTTTAGTATTAGTTCGCATGACCGTTCGGAGGTCGCATTGGGGGGCTCCGACGCCATCTGGGGCGTTCCGGAAAGGGCCTCGCCTTCAGCTCATCTCGAGGTCTGCGGAAGGCAGCGGAGGAAGTGAAACGGCCGCGGCTCAGTTGGCGGAAGCTCGGTGGAAGGCGGCCGAAGCAAAATTGAGACGCCTTCGTTTTGGGTCGAGAAATTTCGGATTCCGCCATCCGTCTTGAGATCTACTGGAGACGTATTGGGGGGCATTTTGGTCGACTTTGCTACATACCGAGGGGTGCATCTGGCTATCAGCAGCCATCGCCATCCTGGGCAGTCTTGGAGCTTCAAGCCCCTCGCGAGGCCTTCACCCTGGCTGCAGGACCTCCCTTGCCCTGGCGGGCCAGCCCCGCCAGGCGACCAGCGGCAGAGACCCCTGCGTGCCCCTCCCCCGACGGCCCAAGACGCCACCGAGACAGCCAACAGCGGCCAGGCCAGACAGGACAAGACGAGACAAGTCGGGAAGATGTGGCACCGGACGACGCAGGACCCGACAAGGCACGCCACGGCAGCCTCGAGGCGCCCCAAGGCAGCCCCCGGAAGCACCGAATCTTGCACGCATTAACAAGTCGCCTTCTTGACCTTTTGCTCCCAAAGGGCCCTGGAGGTTCAATTGCCTTGAAGACGGGCGGTCCAGATGCCTCCCAAGCGGTCCCCGAGAGGCCCCCCAGCAGGCTTAGCGAGGCTGAGGGGCAGTCTTCCAGGATTCTCTGGGGCCTCCCAAACTCAGTGTACTCCCTGTGCTCCCGAGGCCCCTTGGACACCCTGGTCCTCCAGGATTCTCTGGAGGCCTCCCAAAGTAAAACCAATTTAGCGACTCATAGAAGCAAGCAGTAGGAAGCGATGCAACAAAACGGTCGGTAAGGACGCGATCTGCTGCACAGCCAGGGAGCCGTTGACATACCCTGGGGAATTCTCCATTGGACTCCGTTAGACGTCGTATGCCTCGGGCACAATGCAGTACATAGAACCATACAAGACGGAGTACAAAGGAAGGCGTAGGATCCCATTGCCATGCCCAAGGAGCCCATTCCTATAGCAAAGGCATGATTTGCGAGAGCCAAGAGTTTCATTTCCGCACTCAAGGAGAACATTGTAATTCCACTGTCGCACCCAAGGGTCGATGACCATACGCAAGGAAACCATTGTCATAGCCCAGGGATCCAATACAACACCCACCGAACCCGTTACCCTACCCCGCTTCAGCGCCATTCCGAAAGGAGGCATGGCCATATACCCACATAAACCATCGGTGAAGGAGCCACACACACATTCCATTGGTGTGCCGAAGGAGCGAGCGTATTTGCATACCCAGGGTCGCGCGATGGCAACGTAGAGGGGGATGTAGCCAGGGCAATCCTAGGCAGCGAGCTAGAATTCAATAGGCACTGTGCCTATAGAATTCTAGCTCGAGAGCGAGCTAGAATTCTATAGGCACCTTGCGAGGGCGACGTGCACGTTCGAGAGGACGGCTGGCCTTTTCGTCGGCCGACGCACGGGCGGCGCACGGGCGACGAATGCGCGACGCACCTCTTGTCGCGAAGGGGGGGGGGTCAGCACGACGGTCGTCTTACTAGGCCTTAACGTAGGCACGTCTGCATGGGGAAGAACACTGCGCGCCCAATCGCCCCCCAAGGGGGCCCAACACGGACCCCGACCCCGACGGCACCCGATATGGCTTCAAGGGGGCAACCAGCGGCCCCGCGGCGCCTCCGGAAAGCGACAAGACGGTCGAAGAGGGCGCTTGAAAGACGCCCAAAGGTGAAGGAGGAGGAGGAGGAGGAGGAGGAGGAGGAGCTTGGATACATGTTGGCTGCGCAGCCTTTTGTGGTGTAAGACGGCTCCATGCGGCCCGTCTGGGCCCCGCCCGTCTCACAGCTCGCGGCGCGCCCCTCAGGACACGGTCAGAAAGCAGCAGGAGGCGCTCAGGCTGGAGGAAGAGAAGGCGGGCGCCCCTCTTGACAGAGGAGAAGGAAGGGGAGGGGGAGCAGGAGGGAAGGGGGTGAGGAGGAGGAGTAGGAGGAGGAGGAGGAGGAGGAGGAGGAGGAGGAGGAGGAGGAGGAGGAGGAGGAGGAGGAGGAGGAGGAGGAGGAGGAGGAGGAGGAGGAGGAGGAGGACTCTCTGGACTCTTTGATAGCGGACGCTGTCCTGGGGGAGAACGTTGGTCACTGGAGCGGCCCCCCTCCTCGGCAGGACTTGGTCCGCACGGTCGCGCTCCGCTCCCGCCTGGGCCGCCTGAGGCCCAGCGTCCTGGCCAGGACCGTGACCTGGGATGTCCACCGGTGGCGATCGCAAGTCCACCGCTGCTAAACAGGTTGCCTCCCCGCGGGCCTTGATAGCTTCTCGAATTGCCTCGGGGGGCCCTTCGCGCCGAGGGAACAATCCTTTGCTGAGCCTCGACAGGTTCTCCAAAGTCTTTAAGGTTCTTCCCCTTGCACTTCTGGGCTGGACTCTTGGGATCTACTGTCGCATACAGTACAGACCACAGCTCGAGCAAACAAAGAGGAACTATTTTTCCACATATTGGATTGTGTGCGAGGGATGGCGCGTTGGCACACTCCGTGGGCTCTGACGGCTGGGGCGACGCGCTCACCGACCGCTGCCACGACCCTCCTCTGCTCTTTCGCTGGGGGGACCTGGCAGACTCCCGCGGCAAATTCCCGAAGCTTGTTTCCTGGAATCACCCGCTCGTACACCGTGCGCCGCCGAACCTTCTGCGAGGTTCCACACAGCTCGAGAGAATGACTAGACGCTGCTGCCAAGGCAGCTTGCCTCGGCAGCATCGGGGCCATTCACGGGGCCCTCTCAGCCCACACTTTGCCCTCGGCTTCCGCCGCAGCCGCCAATGCTCGTCTGGCTCGGCGGCGGATCAGCGAAACTGTTACATCGATACGATCAGTCTCTGGAGAAGGAGCAGGAGGAGGAGGAGGAGGAGGAGGAGGAAGGAGGAAGGAGGAAGGAGGAAGGAGGAAGGAGGAAGGAGGAAGGAGGAAGGAGGAAGGAGGGAGGAGGAGGAGGAGGAGGAGGAGGAGGAGGAGGAGGAGGAGGAGGAGGAGGAGGAGGAGGAGGATGCGCGGCCGCGCTGCGCAGTCTTCAGATGGATTTGCCGCTCTGCACAGCGTGCCGGCACCCGAGGAGGAAGATGAGAATGAGATGCCGTGGGCCTCCAGCTTTCCTTGGGATGTTCATTTCCTCATGCGATCCGCTTCGTCCGCCTCGCTGCCCTGGTCGCCCGCGCGGCGATCCCCAGGTTAAGGCCGCCGAGGAGGCGGCCAAGCGGAAGGCCCAGGAGCTGCAGCAGAGGGCGCAGCTGGAGGCCAAGGCCAAGGCGCGGGCCCCCCCCCCGCTTGCTGCGGCTCGCCCGCTCTTGCTGCGGCTCGCCCGCTGGTCCTTCACACAGCCTCCTGCGAGAAAGGTTGCCTCCTCGGATGGGGGATGTAATGGCTCCCAGCCCCTATCAGCCAAACAGGTATGTGGCCGAAAGAAATCGGTGACCGAAAACGAGCCCGAAATTGTAATGGGAAGCGATGTGTGATCGAACATTCAACGACATTGTAGTCGCTTTGGTTCCGAGCCAAGATTGTCGGTCACACTGTTGCGCGTTCGTGAAAAAACGGGTGCCGTTTTCGGCTACATTCGGGCAGATGTTCGGGCAAAGGTTCGGCCAGTACACTCCCCTGGGAGAGACGAGGCTGCGTGAGGGATGGGGATGAGGAGACTGCGGAGAGGTAAGAGGAGGGTACGGAGGGAGATGAGGAGAGTATGGATGATGAGGAGGAGGTGGGGAATGATGAGCCGAACAAGAAAGAAAAAGGAAGAGGAGGAGCAGGAGGAGGAGGAGGGGCACAACTGAAGACGGGGAGCAAAGAGGACGGTGAGGATCCAGGAGGGCGATGAGGAGAGTGAGAACGAGGAGCGAGATGGAGACAGAGGATGAGGGGACGTAGCATAAAGTGGACGAGGAGAAGATTGTGGATGAGGAGGAGGATGAAGGGCCACGAGGGATGAGCAGGGAGAGCGTGGTGAGCCCGGATGTCCGTCGAGAGTGCCACGATGGAGGCATGATGCGGGGCGATGCTGGCATCCCGTCGGCATCGCCGCCCTCCCACGGTACCTGCCGGGAGGGTCCAGGCAGCGTCGCCGGGCTCGGCGGTCGTTCTAAAGGAACGCGGCAAGGACACGGCCGCCGCGCTCACCACAGGCACGGGCGCCAGCGCGGGTTCCTCATGCCGTGGTTCCTCGTGGTCGGCGCGTGCCCTCTGAGTCCCCCCCCTCCCAGCGAAGCAGGCCGCCGCGCTCGAGCTGCAGATCAACAAGCAAAGGGAACAGCTCGAGGAGCTTGTCGCCCAGCTGAGATATTGTTGTGATGTGTTCTGTCTTTCTTTATTTCTCTCTCTCTCTCTCTCTCGCTCTCCTGCTATATCTATATATATAATACATGTACACAGGTACGTCAGCTCTCATCGTATTGGAGAATACCTAATGCGTCATACGGGATAAGCACCAGTCAGTTGCTCCTACGGAACACGTAGAGACAGCATGCTGGCAGCGGGCGCGAGCACATGAGGGCGAATGTGGTGTTCTCGGCTCTCTACTCTAAGAGTACCCTGACCCTCATATCCATCATCTATACCCTCCGCTCGAACTCTCGACCCTTTGCTCTAATTTCTCTATGCTCTAAGCCCATACTAGATGTATTCTGCTCAGTGCTTTACCTACTCTGTCTTCTCTCGAGGTCCGGGGAGCCTGGCCACCGCCGGGAGCACAGGAACCCGAAAATGGGAATCCAGGAACCCCGCCGCCCACCGAGATCGGCGGCCTTTCCCCACCGCGGCCCTGGCCCTGAATCCAGGGGGCTGAGGCAGTACCCTGACTGGTTAAGGATTGTCGCTTCGGGGGAGCGGGCGTGACTTAACTTATCTGGGATTGTGGCCTCGGGAGCGCGAAAGTTAAAGAAATCCACCATGGACTGTAACCGTCATCTCAGAAGCGCGACGTCGTAATACTTCACTATGGGTTGTGGTTTCGGGAGCGCAGATTTGCTGGACATTACCCGAGGTTGTGGCGTCGGGAGCGCGAATATGTGTCGTCATGTATCAAGGATTGTGGCCTCGAGAGCGCCACTGCGGAGTAATTTATTGGGGAGTGCTGCCCCATGAACTCGAATCTGTTGTATTTTCGAGAGCGCGGGCTGCTTGCAATGCATATATATATATATGCTTATATATTCCTCTTTTTAAAGATTAAGCATCAGCCAACTACGAGTGCACCGTACTTGTATTCGGGCTCAAGCTCTCTGATCCCCAATGCCCTACACTTGGGGTCCGAAGGATTGGGCTGACTCTGCCGCCCAGAGTCTCGCGCACGCCTCCTCATCGGCGCTGGTGGCCTGGGCAAGCAAGACCGAGTGTCCTGCCTGTAGTCCAGTGCTCCACTGCGATTGCCCTGTCGTCCACTTCGACTGCCCGGCTTGCCCCGCCGTCAACTGCGGCGGCGTCATCAGGCAGGAGCCCGTCCGTTTCTCCTTCGGCGGCTTCACGTTGTGGCTCGTCTTCCTCTTCGTGGGCTCTATGTTCGGTCACCTATCCCTTGCCGGGGCCCGCTGGGGCCCAGTCGCGTCGTCAGAGCAGGCGGAGGCGAACGAGTACTCGGGTGCTGAGGTTGAGACCGTGGCGGAGCAGGCCCGCCAGCAGTTCGAGGCGGTTGCCTTGAAGAGGCGCGCGGCGACGGCCAGTCGCCGCGGTCTTGAGTCGTACTGATGGCGCTCGCGGGCGCCAGCCCGTGTGTCTACACCATTCTGGCCCCGGACGACGACGATTACGCGGAGGACACCAGCGCCCTGGCCGACATCCTCGAGGCCGCGCGGCCTCCCCGCGGTGCGCCAGGCGGCCCGCCCCCTCTCATCGCAGGCGCGGCCGCCCTGGCCCCGGCGTGCCGCTTCCGAGCGCTGCCGCTGCCGGGGCGGATGGTGGCGGCCCGAGCTGCTGGCGCTGCGAGGCTGGGCCACCCTGTCCTGCGAACCCGTTCGTGCTGAACGTGGCGGGGCGCCCCCCTGGCTGCGGGCGCCGCCTTGGCTGTGGCCGCGGGCGGGCTCGACGAGGGCGACTTTCTCGTGGCTCGCTACAACGTACCGGGGCCCCCCGTGTGGCGCGAGCGGGTCGCGGTTTACCGGCCCGCGGCGGCTGCCCCAGGGGCGCCCGCGCCGGGCGGCGGGCTCGCGGCCTTGGCGGCCGCCCTCGGCGGCCCTGGCGCCCTTCCAAGGGGCCCTCGTCGCACCGCTCGCGGCTCCCGCGCCTGGCCCCGCGGCCGCGGCGCCAGCGCCTGGCCCCGCGGCCGCGGCTGCCCCGCCAGGCGCGCTAGTGCAAGAGGCCCTGCCGGCGGCCGCCGGCGCCGCCGGGCCGGGCGCTCTGGGGGGGGGGCCCTGGCGGCTGCAGCTGCCGCGCCCGCCGTGGCCCCCGCGGCGGCAGCCCAGGCGGGCTTCGACCTGAGGGCGCCCGCGGTGCTGCGGGACATGCAGGGCGTGCGGCGGTTCCGAGAGTTCAGGCTGTGCGTCGGCCTCTTCTCGGTCACGCCCTTCGTGGACTGGCCATTCCGCGGCCCTCGGACGTTGCTTTGGGTGTGTGAGCTCATCGTGGCCAACGGAGGCTCGCCCGTCGCAAGGCACAACCGCTGGAAGGCTGAGGCGAAGCTGTCCGGCGGCGAGTCGGGCGTTGAGGAGCATCTCCGAGTGTGCATGGCGTTCGAGACGGCCGCTTGCTACGACCTGTTCAACATGACAGAGATGGCGTCTTTTGGCGCACCCCTCAGACAGTTCGTGGCCCCACAGGGGGTTCCACTGAAGGCTTCAGTGGCAGGGTTCGCATGGCGGTGCAGCCCCACGTGGCCCAGTCGGGAGCTCGTCCGAAGGCCGCAGTGGGTCCGCGTGGCGGCGCAGCCCCACTTTGGCGCACCTCTCACACGGTTCGTGGCCCAATCGGGAGCTCGACCGAAGGCCCCAGGCCCCAGTGGCAGGGTTCTCATGGCCGCGTCGCCCCATTATGGCGCACCCCTTACACGGTTCGTGGCCCCATGGGACGTTCCACCGAAGGCCCCAGCGTCAGGGTCCGCATGGCGGCGCTCCCCCTTTTGGCGCACCACTCACGCGGTTCGTGGCCCTATAAGAAGCTCCACGGAAAGCTGTGTCGCAACGCGATTTTCACTGTTGCATATGGCTGGGTCTTTCGCCCGGATAATTTTGATTTTCGCCTCCCGGGTGCCTCCTTGGCGAGCTCTGTGGCAGCATCGGGCCTATCTGAAGCTCTCTTGGAACCAGTCTGGCTGCCCAAAGGTGTCCCGAAGGGGCTCAGACGCCCTCCGGTGGGGTCTAAGGGGGGCCCCAGATGCATCCGAATCGGTAAAGCGTCAACAAGGACCATCCCTCTTTAGAAGACGGAACATCGTCAAGACCGTCACAACGGCCCCAACGCGGCCCAGGATGGTTCCAAGAAGCCCCGAGAGATCCCCAAGACGGCCCAAGGGGCCCCCAAGACAGCCGCGTACGCTCCCACGAGGCGCCCAGGAGGGCCCCAAGATGCCTCCGACAACGACGTTTTCTCAAAAACTCCTTCCCGGACTCCCCCCCGAGATTTTCCCAGATCCCACCTGGGACTCTCCCAGACCCCTCCCGGAATTCCCGTAAAGAAAGACAAACATTCGACAAAGGGAGAAGTGTTACGGTGTGGGGTAGGGAGGTGTGAACCCCTCCCCCGAGCAGGGAACGGAGGGGGAGAGAACACAATACTTCTTAAACCACCTACGCCTAAAGGGCTGGTGGGATTAAATCGGAATGCTCTGGATCTGGGATCTGCTCCGTTCCTCTTGAACTCTTGAAATCTGAGTAAAACCGTGTCAAATCCAAGGGTAACCCTATGGAACTGAGATATGAGCCGTGCCTGCATACATCTTATGAGAACTCGAGTCGAACTCTACAGGACTCTTTTGGATATGGGATCTACCCCGTTTGTATTGAAGTTTGCCTAGCAGCCCGTCCACATTCAATCCTTTTGATATGGGATCTGCTCCGTTCCTCTTGAAATCTGAGTAAAACCCTAGTCAAATCCAAGAGTAACCCTATGGAGCTGAGATGTGATCCGTGCCTGCATACATCTTATGAGAACTCGAGTCGAACTCTACAGGACTCTTTTGGATATGGGATCTACCCCGTTTGTATTGAAGTTTGCCTAGCAGCCCGTCCACATTCAATCCTCTTGATATGGGATCTGCTTCTTCTTTTTTGCAATAGTACCAGAGTTTGGTTCACATTCAATCGGGGTCCCTCCTCCTCCTTCTCCTCCTTATCCTCCTCTTCCTCTTCCACTTCACTTCAGAGGAAGGAGCAACAGCGGCAGCAGCAGCAGGAGGAAACACCGGGAACGGAGACCGAGGAGGAACGGGCATGCAGAGGACGAGAAGGCACATTAGGAGAAGGAGGAGGAGAGCGATGAGGTAAGAACTCAAAGGACCACGAACCGAAGGAAGGAGGATAACGATCACATGTTCTGAAATATGGCGTTCGCGGGTGTCTCTACGGACCTGCATTCAATAGGGCTCCTCTAGATATGGAGTCTGTTCCGTCCCTGCTGCACCTCATTCGTGTTTTCCTATTGCGATAGGAATATTATGGGTATGGGGTCTGCTCCGTTTGACTTGAAGCCTGGTTTGAATTCCATTCAAATTTTATTGGGACCTTTTGGATATGGGATCTGCTCTGTTCCAACGGAAATGCGAGTCTAATCCTATTCAAGATTAGCAGGATTATGCTGGATATGGGATCTGCGCTGTTTCTACTGACAGCTGATAAGAACCTTATCCCAATTCTATCAGGATCCTCTGGATCTGGAACCTGCCTTATTTCCTGTTGAAGCCTTATGAGAATCTGATCAGAACCCAATTCGAACTCTATATGGACCCTGTGGATCTGGATCTGCTCCGCTTGTTTTGAAGTTTGCTCAGAAGCCCGTGAAGATTCAGTCGAAATCCTCTAGATCTGGGTCCACTTCCAGTTCCCATTGAACTCGTATCAGCATCCGATTCAAATTTAATACGAGTCCTCTGGATCTGGGACCCGGGCGAGCATGTGTATATATATATATATATATATATATATACAAGTGGCACGTGTGTGCCCAGGCTCATACAACAAGCTGAAGGGGCGTTTGAAGCAGGAGTGACATGCAACAGCGAAGTCGCACTCGAGCGCAAGTGGGGTTGCCACACCTTGCGATGTGTGTACCAGGGCCCCCCAGGAAGCCTCAGGAGGCCCGACTTGGATACCAGGAGAGGCTCCAGGAGGCCCCAGGATTGTGAGTGTTGTGTGTGTGATGTGTGCTTTGTGTGGTGCGTGCTTTTTGCGTGTTGTCGGTGTTGTGTGTGTGTATGTTATGTTTGTCTAGCGTGTGATGTGTTGGGCGTGATTTGTGTCTCTGTGTGTGCATGTAGTTCTGAAGCCCCAGGAGGCCCCAGGAGGCCCCAGGCGGCCTCAGCAGGCCCAGGAGAACTCCAGGAGGCTCCGAGGCGGGGTCTGGGGTACCAGAAGGTCCAGAAAGCCCCAGGAGGCCCCAGGAGGTTCCAGGAGGCCCCCAGGAGGCTCCGAGGAGGGGTCTGGGGCTCGATTTTGGGAGGATGTCTCAGGCGAAACCGCCATTCTCTGAGAATCGGAGTCAAAATCATTGAAATTACCATGTGTTTTTGAAGGTTTTATGATAAAATGTTGGAAATCCTATGTGTTTTTGGACCCTGACGTCACGATCTGCGTGAGGGGTGCCACCGATTTTCAGAATTTCGAGGATGTCCCGAGCGAAACGGCCAGAAACATCGCGAACGACGGACGCATTAATCGCATCTGAGCTCTATTCCCTCGGAGAGGTGCGTATGAGAATACATATATATTCTCATACGCACCTCTCCAAGGGAGTAGAGCTCAGAGGCGATTAATGCGCACGCGTCCGCGATTTTTCTGGGCGTTTCGCTCGGGACATCCTCGAAATTCTGAAAACCTGTGGCACCCCTCACGCAGATCGCGACGTCAGGGTCCAACAACACATGGGAACTTCAACATTTTAACATAAAACCTTCAAACACACATGGTAATTTCAATAATTGTGACCCCGATTCTCAGTGAATGGCTGTTTTGCTTGAAAAATCCTTCCAACATCGAGCCCCAGACCCCGCCTCGGAGCCTCCTGGGGGCCTCCTGGAACCTCCTGGGGCCTCCTGGGCCTTCTGAACCTTCTGGCACCCCAGACCCCGCCTCGGAGCCTCCTGGGGGTGTCCTGAAACCTCCTGGGGCCTCCTGGGGCCTCCTGCGGCCTCCTGGAGCCTCTTGGGGCCTCCTGAAGCCTCCTGGGGTCTCCTGGGGCCTCCTGAGGCCGCCTGGGGCCTCCTGGGGCCTCCTGGGGCTTCAGAACTACATGCACACAGAGACACAAATCACGCCCAACACATCACACGCTAGACAAACATAACACACACACACACACACCTACAACACACAAAAAGCACGCACCACACGAAGCATACATCACAAACACACACACACACACACACACACACACACACACACACACACACACACACACACACACACACACACACACACACACACACACACACACACACACACACACACACACACACACACACACACACACACACACACACACACACACACACACACACACACACCACACACACACACACACACACACGCACAACACACACAATGGCACAACACTCACAATCCTGGGGCCTCCTGGAGCCTCTTCTGGTATCCAAGTCGGGCCTCCTAAGGCTTTCTGGGGGCCCTGGTACACACATCGCAAGGTGTGGCAACCCCACTTGCGCTCGAGTGCGACTTCGATGTTGCATTTCACTCCTGCTTCAAACGCCCCTTCAGTTTTTCCCAACCCTCCTGCGCTGGGCACTCGTTTTGAATAGAGCACTGCGGTCTCCACCTTCCTTCCTTCGTTCCTTCCTTCCTTCCTTCCTTCCTTCCTTCCCGCCTCCTCCTCTCTTCTCTTTGTGGGCTGCGATCTGTGAAACTGTCGCCACTTTCGAGGGCTGCTGGGGGGCCCAGCGGAGTGACGCCCTACGGGGATTCAGATTAGACCTCGCCATCCCTGGGGGGCTGCGATCTGTGAAACTGTTGCCACTTTCGAGGCCTGCTGGGGGGCCCAGCCGCCCTACGCAGATTAGACCTCGCCATCCCTGGGGGGCTGCGATCTGTGAAACTGTCGCCACTTTCGAGGCTGCTGGGGGGCCCAGCGGAGTGACGCCCTACGGGGATTCAGATTAGACCTCGCCATCCCTGGGGGGCTGCGATCTGTGAAACTGTCGCCACTTTCGAGGGCTGCTGGGGGGCCCAGCGGAGTGACGCCCTACGGGGATTCAGATTAGACCTCGCCATCCCTGGGGGGCTGCGATCTGTGAAACTGTCGCCACTTTCGAGGCTGCTGGGGGGCCCAGCGGAGTGACGCCCTACGGGGATTCAGATTAGACCTCGCCATTCCTGGGGGGCTGCGATCTGTGAAACTGTCGCCACTTTCGAGGGCTGCTGGGGGGCCCAGCGGAGTGACGCCCTACGGGGATTCAGATTAGACCTCGCCATCCCTGGGGGGCTGCGATCTGTGAAACTGTCGCCACTTTCGAAGGCTGCGTGGGGGGCCCAGCGGAGTGACGCCCTACGGGGATACAGATTAGACCTCGCCATCCCTGGGGGGCTGCGATCTGTGAAACTGTCGCCACTTTCGAAGGCTGCTGGGGGGCCAGCGGAGTGACGTCCTACGGGGACTCCGCCATCGACGATTCTGTCGCCACTTTCGAGGGCTGCTGTGGGGCCCATGAAACTGTCGCCACTTTCGAGACATAGTGACGTCCTACGCGGACGCAGATTGGACCCGTCATTCTACTTCGATTATCCCGCATCTGCGATCGACTGTATGTGTGCGAGGAACTAGACATGGAGTGGTCTGGCACTGACTGACGTCAAATCGTTGTGTGTCAGTGTCTCCTGGGGTGTTGCCTGATGTGGATGCAGCTCGTCGGCGCTGCGACTCGAGCTGGCGGTCGTCCTTCGGACCCGCAGAAACATCTGCTGAGCTCGATGAGCTAGGGGAACTACAGGAAAGAAGTGCAGGAAACGGAGGCCGGTCATGCACTCGCCGATACCTCGTTGCTCTGTCATCGTCTTTGCTGTTGCATGATCCTTATCTGGCCTGCCGGCGCCGCGGCTCGAGCTGGCGGTCGCCCTTCGGGCCCGCGGGAACATCTTCTGAGACAAGTGGACGCCGCCGCCTTACTTGCAGGCAGCGCATTGCATTCGCGGACAGCAGCATGGCAGACCGCAGTGAGATCCTCAGTCGCGTGGTGTTGCCAAGCCTGGTGGAGACGCGCGTGATCGACCTGAAGTCCCAATCGCGCGTGCACTGTACCTGCGTGGCGTTCAGGCACGCGCGTGATGCTGCTCGCTCCGCGTTCAACCAGTACGTCGCCAGTGCAACTTTGGACGATGGACAACCGATTGATGATACGCGACCCCGGCCTTGAGTTTCTTTCCCGCGGGCCGCCCGCAGACCTGGCGGCGCGCCTGCGAGCGTTCAGCTCCCGCGCTGAAATGTGCGGGAAGGAGGCGGAGAAGCTAGCGGGCGAGCTACGCCTCGCTCGTTCCTTGCAGTCTAAACAAGTTTTATCATGTGGAACTCTGCGACGACATGGCGCAGGCAGCGCTGCGGGTTTAGCTCGCACTTGAAAAACGCGCCAGTCTTCTGTGTCCTCCCGCCATTGTCGTCGTCGTCCTATTCCCCGCTTCACCTTCTCCATGCATGCTGCTGCTTCCGCGATGGCCTTTCGCCCCCCCCGCCCTCCATTCCATCCCTCTCCTACCCCTCGTTCCCGTGCCCGTTCTTCTTCGATCCTGGGGCCTCAAGCCTCGTTCTGTCGATCGTCGTCCTGTGAATCGTGCAACGCATGTGCATCCCATGTAGCTTGCGCAGCAAATCGCCGCGTCTACACTGTCGTTGTTCCTGCTAATGTTGACATACTCCTCTTGCCATTTGATGCGCGTGGGTTGGGTACGTCGCAGGGTAATGTGTATGAGCCTGGGCACACACGTGCCACTTGTATATATATATACATATATATATACATGTGTACAAGGGAGAGAGGAGAGAGAGAGAGAGAGAGATAACAAACAAAACAAAAAAAGAAAGAGATGTGTGTTGCTGCCTCGGAAGTGTTACTGCAACGCACTGTGCAAGTAATTGCTGCTCCGGGGGCGCGAACCTACCGCAATATGTACAAGAACGCGGCCTCGGGGGGGGGGGGGGGCGGCGCATGTGCTGTACTTTGGTGTAGCCCAGGGGGCCGTGTTCGGGCTTGGGTCCTCGCTCGTTCTGCCGTCATTCCAACACTGGAATCAGACAACCTACAGCTCGACAGGACTTGTCAAACGTAAACTGACGGTTCTCGTGTTCGGTGCTTGTGTGGTCGGCGCTACCTCAATGCTGGCATGAGTTAGTAGGCCCAGACGCAGGGGTGTCCGAAATCCGGCATCACCCTAAAAACATTGCATTGAATAACGCGTGTTCTGACAAGTGTCCGATCCATCGATAGCTGCGATTCTGAACAGCGCGTCAGTTGATTTCTGACGAGGCTTGTAGCATTGGCAACTCTCACACATGGAACTGGCGCAGGGAGCAGGAACGCCTACGCCCTGCAGCCGCTTGGCTCCCAAGGGAGCGGGGATGTGGGGCTCTCGCTGGCAATCACCCGGTGTGCCCTCGCATGATCTCACGCATTAGGGCGACCCTATTTGCACACCGCTTTCATCGCCCGCATGTCCATCCCTCAGCTTGAAGCGTGCCGTCGCAAACGGATTCATTCTAGAAGCGGGATTTTGGCCACGCTCGCAGTACATACAGTCCGTCTTTTTGGTTGGCCGCTTCAGTCCCGTCCACTCCTCCCGTCGCGCAGCTCGCGGAGCGCCCTGCAGGACGCGCTCCAGAAGAGCAAAGCTCAGGAGGCGCTCAAGATGGAGGCGCTCAGGCAGGAGGAAGACAAGGCGGGCGCCCTTCCTGAAATGTGAGGAGGAGGCGGAGGCGGAGGAGGAGGAGGAGGAGGGGGAGGAGGAACAGGAAGAGGAGGAGGAGGAGGAGGAGGAGGAGGAGGAGGAGGGGGAGGGGGAGGAGGAGACAGGGTGGGAGGAGGAAGAGGGGGTGGAGGAAGAGGAGGAGGTGGAGGAGGAGGAGGAGGAGGAGGAGGAGGAGGAGGAGAGGGAAGCGCGGCAGGAGGAGGAGAAGGCGCGCCCGCGCTGTCCAGTTTGCCGCCAGACCTCGCCTTCTGCACAACATGGCAGTGCCCGTCGAGTCTGCCATGGCGGAGGCATCTTTGCATGTAGTGCCAGCGAATCGTCGGCATGACCGCTCTCCCAAACATTTGCCAGGAGGGTCCAGGCATCGCGGGGGCTCAACGGCCGTTCTGAAGGAGTGCTAGCGCGGCAGTTACGCGGCCTTCGCGCTCAATACTCCCCTCAGGCACGGGCGACTGCACAGGCTTACCATGTCATGGCTCTTTCGGCTACGCTTAAGAGTAACCCTTCGCCGCAGTGACCTTTGGCGCGGGCCCTCAGGGGTCCCCCCAGCAAATATTGGCGCGCTTGACTTGCTTGGATTTGGTCTCCCCCGCGGCGCCCTAGGGCCGCGCACCAAAGGTCACTCATGCCTAGGGTCACTCTTACGTGCAGCCGAGTCTTTGTTATTCACGTGTGTCCTCTGAGTTCCCCTCCCCGCGACGCAGGTCGCAGCGCTTGTTCGGCAGACCAGTAAACAGAAGGAGCAGCTCGAGGAGCGTGCCGCCCAGCTTCAGCTGAAGGAGGCTCAGCTCGAGCTGAGGGAGGCGGCCCTGATGCAGCGAGCGCAGGCGGGCGCATGCTTTCTTTTTCCGATGGGAAAAGGCAACCACGGAGGAGGAGGAGGAGGAGGAGGAGGAGGAGGAGGAGGAGGAGGAGGAGCAAGAGGAGGAGGACGGCGACGACGACGGCAGCGGCGGCGGCGGCAGCCTTCTGCACCGGCGTCACCCGTGCAGAAGGTGGCACCAGAGGTTCGGGATTATGTGATCCTGCTCGGGGCTAGTCGTTCGAGCAGCCTCTGGGCACCTCTAGTTGGCATTGGCTTCCGCTGTTTGAAGGGCCACGGATGGCATTGCTGCCACGTGGACGGATCGGTCACGCAGAATAGTTCCAGGACCTTGCCATGGAAATCGGCAGTCCAGTGCGAGAGGTTCGAGTAGCGAAGTTCAGGCTGAATTTAGCCAGCCAAGATGCCCGCACCTTTACGAGACCGCGTACAGCAACGAACCGCAATCGAACCACAGTCTTTTTTTGAGGCTTGTGTTGCTTGCGACCCGATGGTGGCCAATACCTTCTTCGATCATCCTGATAACCGCAACGGTTCTTACCGCGACTTGGATGTACCACTGACGGCAAACATAGGTAATGGAGTGTTCGGGCGGATTGACCACATACTGCTATATCCTGATAACACCACAACTATTATCAATTGCTGGACTTGCCGGACAATTGCGCTAAACATGCAGCAAGTTCTGACGAGTGCAGACATTTCGATGCAGTTCAAAGTGGAGGAGCCCATCAAAAAGAAACGCGCTGATAGAAGTTCCCCTAAAGACGCTACGATTCAGGACACCTTTCTGCGTTCATTGTCGAATGCAGCCCGCGCTGATGACTAGAGTTTCACTATGCAGGAGGCCGCGGCAGATATGCAGGGAGCATTCCTGGAAGCAACGCATGTCCGCTGACATGCACAGACGTTCGTGGACAAGTCACCTGCACATTTAACTTGATCGCCGAGCGGGACATTCAAACAGGGGACTACACCAATGAGAAACGCCTCAACAAAATGAGCCGCAGATCTGGGAAACAGGATTGCAAACTATGATTGAAAAATCTATGGGCGGAGGTGGATGGGAAACCGTTCGATTTCGCCGCAAAACAAGGCTGGTCAAACGCGCAGTTATCAAGAAACTAGATGGGGTGCTATCTGACACGCCCGAAATAGCAAATACCATGGCAGAGTGATTCGAGACAGTGCCATGGCAGAAGCGACACCCAGAACTACAACCAGATGCTCTGCAGCCGCTTGGGGATGTTCTTCCGATCCGCATAGACAATTCATTCTACAATGGGTGCATTGCTCAGCGTATGACTTAACTCAGGATCTGGAAAAGCTGCGTGCCCCTATGAGACCCCTTCGGATTGCTGGAAACGCTACTGCACGAGAAAATCAACCAGTGTACCATTACAGTCATGCTAACAATACTGGGCTAAAATGTGCACCTCGGATTGTTTTGGCGACGAACCAAGGTACTTCAGCCTTAACAGAGAACCGCAGACCGATTTCATTATTTTCGATTGGTTGCAAGGGGGCGACAAGGATTCATCAAAGGCCGTTGCAGGGTGATTCCGAGAAACGCACGCGCGCCTCTCAGTACGGATTCCGCTCCTGACATGGACATGCAGAAATTCTCATGTTAGCGAGACGGATGATTAATGCTGCGCACAAGCGTGGATGGAGGCCTATTCGTATTGATGCTAGTTTGGGCCAAAGCTCTTGACCGAATCAAGCCGGACTCAATGTGTAAAGTTTTGTAGAGATTCAGGCTCTCTGCCGAGATTGTAGAAACGGGCGGCGCGTTCGATTTATTCGGCCCGGTTCTTCGCCATCCAGGACCACACCGGCACCTCGACTAAGAGACGCAGAATGTTGGAATCGTGCAAGGGTGTTCGCTTCCCATATGCTTGTTAATAGCAATCCAGATCGCTATGCTGCAGGACGCGACGGACGCGCTACGTTTAGATGGAGAACCTGGGTACGTGATGACCCGAAATGTCCTCTACGCTGACGACACATGATTGGCATTTCAACGCTCAGCGAACCTCCTTAGAAAATGTTGGCAGCAATTGTAGAAGAAGGACGCACATACGATTTGGAACGCAACTCGGGGGGGGCGGGACGGCGCAAATGTATACATCCGCAAACCACAGAAGTACGACTCCAGGTAGGGATGACATTAAGGTTGTCCAGGATGCCTCATCATTTGGAGGCTCGATCACAGGCGAGGAGAAAGCAGCCGCCGAGCTATGCATAATATTCGGGGAGGCGCACAACAGATGCAATAACCCCAGGAAGCTCTGGTCTCACGCATGCCTTGTGTGGAGACAGAAAAAAAAAGATCTACGACAGCGTCGTTCTGAGCAAGCTGCTATATTCATTTGACTATGTGACTGTCGAAGGCAGACGGATGCAAACTCGATGCGTTCCATTGCCGTTGCTTGCGATTGTTTGGGCATGCAGCACTCATTCTTCTCAAGGATCCGCAAAGCAAGCGCGGCAGGGGCGGAACCGATGTCCGAAGTATTGCATGATAGGCAAATCAAGCTTTTCAAGTACATCGCGTCACATAGGCCTACTTATTTGGTGAGGCGAGTTGTTTGCAATGCCGAAGGGACGCCGAATCATTTAGCTGTCAAGCGCAGGCGTGGGCGACCGCGACAGCAATGAGCATCTGCAGTATACGATATGTCGAGGAACTTCGATGTGGGGTTGCACCATAAAGACTGCACCACATATATCGCACCATGTACACTGCACAACATATATTGCACCACAAACATTGCACCACAGGTGCTCCACATAGATTGTACCACGTAGATCACACCTCCAACATTGCACAACATAGAGTGTACAACAGCGGTCGCACCGCCAGATACTGCACCACATAAATAGCACCACGTATCTTGCTTCACACATCCTGCACAACATCGATGTTTGATAACACGCTCTTTGGGGCCCGCGAGCGCACCTAGTTTGCTCTTTCCTCTCCCTCCCCCTTCCCTGGCCTGGGCTGACAGGTTTCGGCAGCGGCAACAACGACCCCCGCAGTTTGTGTCGTTCCCCGCCCACCTTTCGATCCAGGATGCCATTTCTCAGGGAGACTCCTTGGAGCGTTCGGGAGAAAATTCCTGGGCGGATTTCTTCGCGAAATGTGGCTCGGCGTCACGCGCGTTGTCGGAAGGATGTTCCCAGGTATTGGCTGGGGAGCTATCACAAGAGTATGATGAGGTTTCTTGCTTTGGTTGCGCAGCGGAATGCTGCAGAGTCACAGTTTGAGTGGTGGCCCCGAAGAGGTTTTCGTTTCCTTCCAGCCTCCTCGACCCCCCTCCCTCTCGGTCACCAGCCACACTGGGTGGCGCAGTTCGGACAAGAACGAATGGAGTTGCCGCGATTGCGGCCGATGGGCCCGCGCTGCTGGATCTTCCAAGGCCATGCCCAAGCAGCGTTCCACCAGGAATTGCTTGCCCCCCCTGTCCAGAGGCTTGCCAGTGACGCCCGGTTTCAGGCGCACGGTTCTTTTTTGAAGCTCTTTCGAAGCGATGCTGTGAATGTGGCGATTGAGGCTGGTGAGCGGCTCATCCAGGATGCGCCCCCAGGGTCCGATGAGGTCCACGGCCACTCCACCCCCCAAGGCCCTCGGACCCGAGCGTTTCCGTGAGCTGAGTTTGAGGCCTTACGGCACGTTGTGTTCCGTGTTGGCGAACATTTCTGCTGTCGTAAGTGCGGAAAGCGTGGAGCAGCTGTTTTCTTGCCAAGCTTGCCGCTTGGTGCAAAGTCTTTGTCGGAAGTCCGCCCACCAGGACGAAGCAGGCGATGACGGTCCGAAGGCTGGAAAGCGGGAAGGACCCGAAGATTGGTGTTCAATGCGTTTAGTTTTGGTTGCCCTTCTCTTGTCGCCCGTCGTCGCCCCCCCCCGCTCACCGCATACATTTTCTTTTGCGCGATGCTGTGGGCGAAGCGCAGCAATGCTCCGTGGACGGTGGCGGCGGGCGGCGGGGTCGACTCGGGGAGATGCGGGGCCTACTGCCGTCCCTGCAGGCGCCAATGCTCCGTGGACGGTGGCGGCGGACGGCGGGTTCGACTCGGGGAGAGGCGGGGCCCACTGCCGTCCCTGCAGGCGCTCTTCCGACAGCGGGGCAGGCCCCTGCCCTCTCGAGCTGGGCTCCCTGCCCGGGCCCACGCCCTTGCAGGGGGCGCAGCGGGTCTGTGCCCCTCTGGCGGCCGCTGTTGCCCAAGCCCCCGCCCCGCCCCAACTGGCGCCGTCGTGGCCTGGCCCCTCTCCTCCTCCTCCTCTTCCTCCTCCTCCTCCTCCTCCTCCTCCTCCTCCCTCTCCTCCTCCTCCTCCTCCTCCTGCTCCTCCTCCTCCTCCTCTCCTCCTCCTCCTCCTCCTCCCTCCTCCTCCTCCTCCTCCTCCTCCCTCCTCCTCCTCCCTCCTCCTCCTCCTCCTCCTCCGCCTCTCCTCCTCCTCCTCCTCCTCCTCCTCCCCCTTCCCCTCCTCCTCCTCCCTCCTCCTCCTCCCTTCCTCCGCCGCCCTGCCCCTCCCCAAAGGCCTCGCAGCCAGCCGCGGCGCCGCGGCGCCCCCCGCGCAGCGCGGGCCTCCGGCCGGCCCGCCCACGGCCGCGCCGCCCGCCGCCGCGCCGGCCGCTGGCGCGGGCGCGGAGGCCGCCCCTTAAAACAGGGTTAGGATCGGGATAAATCGCTCCAGAGTGTTCCGGAGCGCTCTCCGAGCGTTCCGCAACGCTCTAGAGCGGCCGCGGCGCCGAATACATCCTCCAAGCCCGCCGATTCTCAGAGATTTCGAGTCATCCCGATCCGATTTTGTCCCGATCGTCGCGTCGTTTTACCCCTCCCCCAGGGGAGGCAGTCGGGGGCTGCGCCGGCGAGGACGACATCACCCCGACGGCTCCTCCGGGTCTGATCTTCTGCTGCCGTGCCAGGCTCAGCGTACATCTAGTCTTCACTCTGCACCTCGTCGTCCTGATACCGGACGCGTCCTCGCCTGGGAAGTCCAGCGTCCTTTTATCAGGCTTCGTTATGTGGTGGCCGCGCCTAGCTTACCCAGCATGGGTTGGCTTGGCATCGTTTGGACGTGTGCATGTTTCCTTCGGCGAGGACCATCGAGGAGCATCCTTGATCCTTTGGTGGAAAAACCACGCACGAAACCAAAACAAACACAGGGAATGGACGTCCGAGCGATGGCGAGTTGGGAGAGCGGACGAGGAGGCCGCCCCAGACGGGCGTGGCGGCCCCAGCGGCCCCTGCCGCGCCAGGGGCCCAGGCCCCGTGGAGGCCGCGAGGAGCTGCAGGCGGGGCGCAGCAGTGCGGGCCACCCGGGCCTCGGGAGGGGGCGCAGCAGTGGTCGGGCCGCTCCGCGGGGCCAGGTCGGGGGAGGTGCTCGTGGCCGAGGGCCCGCCGCGGCCAGAAGAGGCCCGTCGTTGCTTCCTCGGCGCCCCTCGTGGCAGCGCGATGATTGCAGCTCGTGGAGTGGGCTGTGTCACGTCGACCGCGTCATCAGGGACCACAGGTACGACGACGACGGGCGCCCGCCCCGGGCGGCCCGGCCTCGTGGCTGAGCACGAAGGGCGGCCATCCTTGGCCGCACCGGAGCTTTGTCACCTCGACGGCACTGCTTCGACATCAACAGGTGCAGCGCGACGACTGCAACGACGGGGGTTACTCGACTCAAGCAGTGGCGGAGCGTCCCGGCTCGCCTGCAGCCCCACCAAACCATGTTCCAAGAACCTTTTTTTGTGGTGTGCACGAGCTGTTCTTAGAACAGTTCTGGTTGAGACTGTCTTGGTTGAACACATCGGGTACATGTTCTAAGAGCATTGCTTTGGTTCTTGGAACATCTCTGGGTTCTAAGCACATTTCGTGGTAGGACTATAGTTTTGCCGGAACGGGCGGCCACTGCTCAATTGACGATTTTCGGCCTCGTCGGGCCGTCGCCCGGTCCAGGGACCAAGCGGACGCGGGGAATTGGTCGACACGTCTGAGGGTCCACGCGTTGACGGATTGATAACGTCGGGGGTCTGGGCCCTCAGGGAGCCGTCGAGGGCAACGTTGGGGAGAACGGATCCCAATCGGGGGGCCCATGACAGCCTTGAGATCATGGCGTCTCATTCTGTTCGAGCTGGGCGGCTTCGCGCGGCTTCGAGCCCTGTGACCCTCACAGGTCGATCCGTTTCGGAGCATGGAGGGGGGAGACGGGGTCCGGGGCTCTGGTCGCAATATCTTTGACGCTGCCGAGCATTTTTTCCGCGTCGTCGAATCTCAGGGATCCCAGCCGGGAGTCCCATGATCATGAATCCCAGCTGGGGGGGGCGGGCGTGTGAAGGAATCCCATGCGTGCGAGCCCATCGGGCAGCTTCGCCGTGGAGCCGCTGGGGCCCCCTGTCACCAGCTCGGTTGTCGAGTCTCCTGGGCATCGTGTGGGGTGGACGTTTAGAAAATGGAACGCTTGGGACACCTATCGAGGGTTTCAGTGGACCTCCACACGTTCGGCAAGCGCACGATTATTCAGCTGACTAATTATTCTACGCAAATGAATGCAAATGAGGCTCTTGGAGCATGTCGGGGTTCCCCGATCCCAACGTTCCTGGCAGGGTGGCCCCTCCCCCCTTGGGCACATCCTAGGCGAGCTGAGGGGCCTCAGGAAAGCCGGAAGACATGCTGCCGCCTCGTTATTGTGTAATGTTGTTGCATGGCCTCTGTAGACGAAGCTCAGCCAGGCGAGAATGACGCTGAGCCGAAGGCCATATTAGTGAATGGCCTCATGAATGAGACGCTGAGCCTGAGTGTAGCGCCCTTGCCACTAGCTGCTGTAGGTAGCAGTCGTGTGCGATGGCTTGGGCTGAAATTCTCGGGCAGGTCACAGTGGCATCTCCTGCGTTGACACGTGAACCATAGCTCCAGCTCCTCCAGCGTTGCACGTGAACTCCAGCTGCATTCATTGAGCAGGATTGCGCTGCCCTGGAGGCGGTGAGTCTCAGGCTTCGACGCGGTGTGTGTGTGGGGTGGTTAGCAACTTGGTCTTGTGCGTGGCCTGGTGGTGTCTCTCAGCCTTGGCCTATGCGCTGCGAAGTGTCGAATCAAGAGCCGAGCCTCCTCCTGCTCCTCCTCCTCCTCCTCGCCTCCTCGCCTCCTCCACCTCCTCCTCCTCCTCCTCCTCCTCCGCCTCCTCCTCCTCCGCCTCCTCCTCCTCCTCCATCCTCACCTCCTCCTCCTCCTCCCATCCTCTCCTCTCCTCCTCCTCCTCCTCCTCCTCCTCCTCCTCCTCCTCCTCCTCCTCCTCCTCCTCCTCCTCCTCCTCCTCCTCCTCCTCCTCCCCCTTGCCTCCGCCTCCCCCTCCCCCCCCCGAGCAGGCCCACGGCCCGGACGCTCCCAGAGGCTGGACCGCTCCCGCGCCTGCGCCGCCGCCTCGCAGGGGGCCGCCGCCGATCGGGCCGCCGCCAGGCGCCCCGAGGGGGAGGGCCGAGGAGGATGAGGAGGAGGAGGAGGAGGAGGAGGAGGAGGAGGAGGAGGAGAAGGAGCAGGAGAAGGAGGGAGGAGGGAGGAGGAGGAGGGAGGAGGGAGGAGGGAGGAGGGATGAGGGAGGAGGGAAGAGGGAAGAGGAGGAGGCGACGGAGTCGGAGTCAGAGTCGGAGTCGGAGGAGAAGGAGGGAGATGAGGAGGAGGAGCGATAGCGAAGCCGTGCACGTCAAAGGTGCATTGGCGGACAAATAGTGAGACACGCGCTGCGGACGTACGAGCCATAACGACGACGGCGACAACAAAGACGACGACGACGACGACGACGACGACGACGACGACGACGACGACGATGACAAGGGGGAGACCGCGGAAGAGGGGGAGAGACGAAGCGACGACGAGGAAGCGAGGAGGAGGATGAGGAGGAGAAGGAGGAGGAGGAGGAGGAGAAGGAGGAGCGGGAGAGAAACCCAGGACACCCAGAGTTTTAAAGATCTGAGCTCCTCCTTCTGCTCCTCCTCCTCCTCGTCCTCCTCCTCATCATCACACCATCCTCGTTATCATCAGCATCAACGTCATGCTCAGAATCCTCATCATCATCATCATCATCATCATCATCATCATCAGCAGCATCAGCATCAGCATCAGCATCAACATCATCATCATCATCATCAGCAGCAGCAGCATCAGCATCGTCATCAGCATCGGCATCAGCATCATTAGCATCTTCAGATTTGTCTTCATCATCATCAGCATCATCATCGTCAACATCATTATCGTCAGCGTCACCAGCATGATCCTCCTCCTCCTCATGATCCGTCTCCTTCTCCTTCTCCCTCTCCTTCTCCCTCTCCTTCTCCCTCCCTCTGAAACGTCGCTGCCTTGCGCGACCCCCTCTGCATGGGTCAGGGGCTGCTGTGCGGGTTTTTTCGGTCGGCTCGCGGGGATCGCGGGTGGCCCATGCCCTAAGAGCGTATACCCAAAACACGCAGGCTGGCGCTGCGAAGACAGTGTCTGTGATGTGGCGCCGCCGGCCACAGAGGATAGCGTGCGCCCTGAGGATAGCGTGCGCCGAAGGAGCCCCGGCAGGGGGATAGCGTGCACCGACGAGGTTCTCGCATTGGGAACGGCGTGGGCAGAAGGGGGCCCTCGCAGGGGGATCGCCTCACAGGGACAGCGTGCCTTTTAGAGATCGATCTTGCACGCTAGCTTTGCAGCGCAGACCTGAAAACTTGAAAACCTTGGAGCTTCAGGTTTCACACCCTCCGGTTCCCGTAAACTCTGGGCTCGAACACCTGAAACTCCGGAGTTTAGGCTTTAGGGCTCTGGGGCTAGAGGAGGAGGAGGAGGAGGAGGAGGAGGAGGAGGAGGAGGAGGAGGAGGAGGTAGAGGTCGAAGACGATGCAGAGATTCACCAAGACCAGGCGGTTCAGGGAGGGGGGGGATGAGGACAACTTCGAAACAGAAGAGAAGGAGCAGGGTGAGGAGGGGGAGGGAGAGGAGGGGGAAGAGGAGAAAAAAGGTTGAGGAGCAGGAGGAGTCAGAAGAGGTGGGCGGCGGCAGCGACGACGACGATCACGACGAAAGCGCGCCGGCGAGGCCTGCAGGCCTCCCCGTCCGACGACCCTTCTGGCCGGGGCTCCGAGGAGAGCGCCGCACGGGCGCCCGCGCGCGCAGAGAAGGCAAGCCTCGTCCTCTTCCTCCTTCTCTTCCTCCGCCTCTTTCTCCTCCTCCTCCTCCTCCTCCTCCTCCTCATTCTCCTCCTCGTCCGCTGCCTCCTCGTCGTCCTCCGCCTCCTCGTTGCCCCTTTCCTCTTCTGTCTCCTCCTCCTCTTCCTCGTTCTGGTCATTCCGTTTTTCCTATGCCTCCTCCTCCTCTTTCTCCTACTCTGCCTCCTCATCCCTTTCCTTCTCGGCCTCCTCCTCCTCCTCCCCTTCCTCCTCCTCTTCCTCCTCCTCCTCCCTTCCCTCTTTTGCCTCCTCCTTCTCATCATCATCATCATCATCATCATCATCATCATCATCATCATCATCATCATCATCATCATCATCATCGTCCATCATGATCATCACATTTTTCGCCTCTTCCTCCCCCATCCCCCTTCCCTTGTCTCACACCCAGACGTGTCGTTAGGGCGGGCCGGACGTTTCGCCTGAGACTTCCTCACCTCTTGCGGCATTGATGCTTGTACTTCCCTTAGCAGGGAACGGATCGTTTTCAAAATGGTGCCCTCGCCTTGGCGCCGCGAGCGCTCGTCTTACGTAAAAAATCCAACACTTACATGGATCTAGGACCGGTTGTTTTCAAAAAGGGGTTCTCGCCTGAGACTTCCCCCACATGTATGACCAGTTTTGTACAGTCGTGCAACAATTACACATGTGGAAGGCGATTCCTTTTCCGTCGCAGTCAGAGTCGAGTCGTAGTCGTAGTCGTTGACGTAGTCGCAGTAGTATCATTATTGCTATTAGTCGCAGTAGTCGCTGTAGTAGAAGTAGGTAATGTCAGTAGTAGTAGGAGTAGGAGTAGCAGTAGCAGTAGTAGTAGTAGTAGTAGTAGTAGTAGTAGTAGTAGTAGTAGTAGTAGTAGTAGTATCAGTAGTAGTAGTAGTAGTAGTAGTAGTAGTAGTAGTAGTAGTAGTAGTATAGTCGTAGTAGTCGTAGTAGTAGTAGTAGTAGTAGTAGTAGTAGTAGTAGTAGTAGTAGTAGTAGTAGTAGTAGTAGTAGTAGTAGTAGTAGTAGTAGTAGTAGTATAGTAGTAAGTAGTAGTAGTAGTAGTAGCAGTAGGAGTAGGAGTAGGAGTAGGCGTAGGAGTAGGAGTAGGAGTAGTAGGAGTAATAGTAGTAGTAGTAGTAGTAGTAGTAGTAGCAGCAGTAGTAGTAGTAGTCGTAGAAGTAGTCGGAGTAGTAGTAGTAGTAGTAGTAGTAGTAGTAGTAGTAGTAGTAGTAGTAGTAGTAGTAGTAGTAGTAATAGTAGTAGTAGTAGTAGTAGTAGTAGTAGCAGTAATCGTCGTAGTAGTGGTAGTAGTAGTAGTAGTAGTAGTAGTAGTAGTAGTAGTAATAGTAGTATTAGTAGTAGTAGTCCTAGTCCAAGTCCGAGTCGTAGTCGTAGTATTAAATTTGTTTAGGTTGTAGTAATACTAGTAACCTGGTAGTGGTGATACAATTTGCCGTAGCAGTAGTAGTAGTAGTAGCAGTAGTAGTAGCAGTAGTAGCTGTCTTAGTAACAGTTGCAATCGTAGTCGTAGCTGTAGTCGTGGTCGTAGTCGTACTAGTAGAAGAGGTCGTAGTAGTAGTAGTAGTAGTAGTACCAGTAGTAGTAGCAGTAGCAGTAGTAGTAGTAGTAGTAGTAGTAGTAGTAGTAGTTCTAGTAGTAGTAGTAGTAGTAGTAGTAGTAGTACTAGTATTAGTACTAGTACTAGTACTAGTACTAGTACTAGTACTAGTATACTTGTAGTAGTATCAGACGTCGTAGTAGCGAAATAGTTGTAGTAGTCGTAGTTGTAGTAGTAGTAGTAGTAGAAGTAGTAGTAGTAGTAGTAGTAGCAGTAGTACTAGTAGTACGATTACTAGTGGTAGTAGTAGTAGTAGTAGTAGTAGTAGTAGTAGTAGTAGTAGTAGTAGTTGTTGTTGTTGTAGTAGCCGTAGTAGTAGTAGGAGGAGTAGGAGTAGTCGAAGTAGTCGTAGTCGTCGAAGTAGCACCTGTAAGCGTGGTAGTAGTAGTAGTCGTAGTAGGAGTAGGAGGAGTAGTAGTCGTCGTCGTCGACGTGGTAGGCATAGTGGTACTCATAGTCGCTTTCGCAGACGAAGTAATACACGTAGTAGTTAAAGTAATAGCCATAGCCGTAGTAGTCGTAGTCGTAGTAGTAGTAATAGTAGTAGTAGTAGTAGTAGTAGTAGTCGTCGGAACCGTAGTAGTAATAGTAGTAGTAGTAGTAGTAGTAGTAGTAGTGGTAGCAGTAGTAGTAGTAGTAGTAGTAGTAGTAGTAGGAGTAGGAGTGCTAGTAGCAGTAGTAGTAGTACAAGTAGTAGCTGAGGACGTAGAAGTACTAGTAGTAGTAGTAGTAGTAGTAGCAGCAGCAGTAGTAGTAGTAGTAGTAGTAGAAGGAGTAGTAGTAGTAGTAGTAGTAGTAGTAGTAGTAGTAATAGTAGTAGTGGTAGTAGTAGTTAAAGGAGGTAGTAGTATAAGTCGTAGGGGTAGCTGTTGTAGTACTAGTAGTGGTAGTAGTAGTAGCAGTTGTAGTCGTCGTTGTAGTGGTAGTAGTCGTAGTATCAATAGTCAGAGTAGTAGAAGTGGTATTAGCAGCCGCACAAGTAATAGTAGTAGTAGTTGGCGTTGTTGTAGTTGTAGCAGTTGTAGTCGTCGTTGTAGTGGTAGTAGCAACATTAATAGTCGGAGTTCGAGACAAGTGCAGAGCTTATCCGGCCAACGGAGTTTGTTGTGTTTGACCTGCGTTGAACACGATGGCTTTGTCGAAGCCTGCTCCCAAAGTGCCCTCCAAGTCCCCCGCGGTCCTTGCCACGTCGGGCTTGGTGCGCTATGGTCCAAAAGCGAAGACGTTCGGCGCTGTGCCGTCGAACAAAGCCAAGGCCGCCGTGCCGGTGGCCGCGCCCAAGCAGGCCGCGGCGAAGTCGGTGGGTGCTGCGCTGGCGTCCGTCGCAAGGGCCGACGAGCTCTTGGTGGAGGCCCCCTTTGGCTGGTTGCCGGCCTCGGATGCAGGTCTCCCGCCGGCGCACAGGCCTCGCGTCCCGCTCGACGCCCTCCAGGGGGTGCTGGCGTTCGGGCTCCCGGTCGAAGCTGGTCGGAACCGCGCCTTCGAAGGTCGAGCCGTTGTCGACGCCGCGTGGGGCCCCTTGCACAAGAACATGCGCCGTGCCGCTGTCTTGGAAGTCGCCGTGGTGCTCGTGTGGGACGCCGCCGCGCACCACAGGGCCGCGTGCACGAACAACTGGCCAGCGCCGACGGCGGTCTTCCCGTTGCACGTTGCTGCAGCGCCTGCCCAGCCGACGGTCGTGAACGGGAAGGCGATCGGGTACGTGAGCACCCCAGACGCGACGCTCGCAGCTGAGTTGGGCATCGCGCCGATCGCGGCGGCCGGCGCCACCGCCGCTGCCAACGCTGCCGCGACCACGGCGGCGCGCACGCTCCGGGCCTTCCTTGGGTCGCCGACGTTCGACTGGAACACCATCGTCCCGAAGCAGCCGTGGGCGCCGCACATGCTCGACCTGCGTGCCGCGTGCGAGGCGTACTCCGTGATCGTCTACGAGAACTCTTGGGCCACTTCGCCGCTGCATCTCTCGTCGCCGGGCTCCACGCACGACGCAGGCTTCTTCATCGCGGGCTGCGCCGCGCGCGAGGCCGGCACAGCGGCGGCCGGGGCCACGCCACCGACGTACGTTCGGCACACTGCGACAGCGGTGGGCGCCACGCAAGACGCGGAGTGGACGCCGTTCATGGGCGCGCTCTTTGAGACCGCGCAGAGGCAGGACCGATGGTTGTTGAGCGCTGTGCACCCCCTCACGCCCACGAACGTTCGCAAGCTCGCCATTGCCCGCGTGAACAGGCAGGTCGCGGCGGCGCTGCCGGAGTACACAGAGGCGTTCGGGGCCTACTGGGCGCCGCTCGCCTTCGGGATCGCGGGAGCGTGCATCGGGTTCGGCCCGGGTTTCCACGCTGAACAGATCGTGCTCCGTGCCGCGTCCGAGGAGATTGTCGACTACGAGAACGGCATCGCGCTGTCAGCCGGCGCCACCGCACGCGTTGCCGCGATGAAGGCCGACGCGGCACACGGCCCGGCTGTGTGGTCATCGGCAGACGAGATGATCCCGGCGCTCGAGCCATACGCCGCGCGCGCGGGGAGCTTCCTGATCGGGTTGGGCGGCCGCCGACCTGCTCGCGCTCGGCCACAGTTGCGGCGCCACCCCGACCAGCCTGGGCAGGCAGACGGAGGCGCACTTGCGGCGCAACAGTGTCGAAGTGGCGGCAGAGCAGGCGGTGCCCGTTGATTTGGCGGCTGAGCTGGAGACGGTCGACGTGTGCTTGCCGATCGGGGAAAATCTCGCCGCGAACGAGCTCCGCGCCATCAAGGGCACCGCCGCGGCTGCGGCGGGGGCTCCTTCGTCTGCCGGCACGGTGGATTTGACGGAAGCATTTCGGGCTTCTCAGGACGCCATCAGGACGAAGGTCGTCAACGCCGTCCAGTTTGCAGCGTCAGAGCGTGCCAGAACCCACGAGTCCATCGAAATGTCGGTCGTCGCCAAAACGATGTACAGGCTCTTGGTGCATCCGTTTGACACATGGGGCCTGTCCGTCTCCTTGGCGCACCCCGCTGCGGCAGTGCATTCGAAAGTGAACGTGGCGTTGTTCTTCGGCCTCGGTTTGACGGCTCACCACCACGTCTCTGTGAGGTGGACGGCCACGACCACAGGCCCAGGGGTCGCCGCGCTCCGGAACCTGCGCATCATGGCCGCCCAGGTGCCAGACACCTGGAAGGCGGTGCTGCCGAGCGACTCGATTCCGGCCCTCGAGCACTTGGAGCGCACCATTCAGCGTTTTGGGATCACCATTGGGGATGCGTCCCGGCTCCTGACCGACTACGGCGCTGACTTGGTCCACGAATGGCACAAAGTTGAGGCATCCCAGGCGCTCCGCTTCGCGGCAGCATGTTTGGCAAAGCTCTACCTCAGGCTCGTTCCGCGGGCCACGATCGCTAATTTGCCATCCCTGGTGCAATTCTTCTCAGATTGTCCGG